AACTCCTGACCTCGAGCAATCCGCCCGCCTCAGCCTCCCAGAGTGCTAGGATTACAGGCGTGAGCCACCGCGCCCGGCTACACCACGTGTTTTTGATAGTATAATTACATTTTCTAATTTTTTTAATACAAAAAAACTTAAGGTTTTTGTTTTGTTTTAAATAGCACACCCTTCAATCAATTCTCTTTCTCTGCTGGTTTTTGTTTTGTTTTGTTTTAAATAGCACACCCTTCAATCAATTCTCTTTCTCTGCTGGTTTTTGTTTTGTTTTGTTTTAAATAGCACACCCTTCAATCACGTCTCTTTCTCTCCTGCCTGATTGTCTTTTCCTGTTTAGTACTTCACTCTTTCATTGACACTGTCATTCATTTATTCCCCTGGCTTTTGACTTAAAAACATTCCTGCTGCAGTTGACTTTTAGCACAAGGTTACAGGTAAAAAAAATAACTAAAAAATAAAAAAGATTTGGCAGTGTGGGTGGTATGCAATGTAACGTATAGGCAGTCCTTGATTTGCATCGTAGGGTTAGGACTATAAAAATGACTAAGCTGAAACTACAGAATGATCTTAATAATTGATTGGAAAAATTTTTTCATAACCTTAATTTTTGTCGAAACATTAAAAACACTCTTACTATTGATGGTAAATATGTAGGGGAAAATTGTAAAGGTAATATTAGTACACTGATTGAAAACATTAGAAACATTAAGAGCTTATTTTTTTAAAACTTATCAAAGTTGTTCAAACATTACTTGCCTTTTTCTCATGGAAGCTATGATACAGAACAAGTATCTTTTTATGCCTTGGCAAGTTGTCCTACTGCTTTCTCAGTCTGGATGGACTTCCAGCATTTTATTTTTCGTGGTTTTAGTCTTGTGAAATGTCTCTGAGAGTTCCTTTGATGTGAAGATTTTTTGCTGGCATAACTTCTTCCGGGACATCTTCATTTTTTTTTTTTTTAATCACAACTGCTTTCCTCATTTATGTTGCTAAGTTTGCTTTCACCTGTTTCCCCTGGTTGTGTAGTTAAATTAGCGACAGTGGTGTCAACATTTCATGGTCAGCTGTTTCTTCTGTAAGACCATTTATGTTCAGTTAATTTCACCTTCAGTCTTACCACCTTTAATTTCTTTGCTGCACTTCCATCTTTGTCAGCTCTCTCTTGCTTATCCATGTTTGCAGAATGTCACATGGCTCTGGGAATCTGGCAGGTAACAGCAACACGCTTTGCCGTTCACGCACGAACTGAGTCACAGATAGGCGGTGACTTCAGTTCCTTGCGTTGTGATTTGTGGACTGAGGGCAAGGGGCGGTGAGGTTTGTACTTTCTGCAGATAATCACGGTTATTGTACTGTGGAAACTGAAAATGGATCCATGTTGTTGGGCGATCTGTGTTATTTCAGCAAACTGTTGCAACTGAAATTCACGTGTGTTGGCACCGTGTGAAGTGGAGGCCACTTACAGTTTTAATTGTTTTCCATGGGTGGTTTTGCAAAGGCTGGGTGGCGATGTCACCTGGGGAGCTTTTCATAATACTCTTGTCCCGCCCGACTCCTCCCTCCGCACCTGCCCTTCTGCTGAGAGCCGCTGGCCTGGCCAGGGAGCCTTGAGGGCAACAGTGTGGGTGTCCTGCCACGGGAGCTTTTCTGTTTTGTCTTTGCCTCAGTGCTTTTCTGGATAGTGCCCTCCTACTTTTCATTTTGAAATAAAGGGAAGCTATTAATAGTATCTGATGAGAACGCTTTGTTCCAAATGCATCAGAAATTGGAAACTAGGCTCCCCTTTCTCAGGGTTGCTTTGTGTGCCTTGTTTCTTTTCGGCATTTATGTCGGAGTGAGCAAGTCTCCCTTTTTTGCTTGCTTTGTGTTGAGCAGGAAATTATTGAAACACAGGTATATTCCAGATTATGATCAGCCAGGTGGAGCATGCAAGGCACCCTTGGAGACCACCAGTTGGTCGTCTGAGGACCACGATTGGGAACCTGCGATGGAGGCATTTGTAGTGCATCTCCAGTACCACGAGGTGGCGCTACCTTTCCTTTCTCATTTTGCTTTCAATTTAGGAGATACTTGGCTGGGTGGGTGGCTCACACCTGTAATCCTAGCACTCTAGGAGGCTGAGGCAGGAGGATTGCTTGAGGTCAGGAGTTCCAAACCAACCTGGGCAATAGTGAGACTTTGTATCTACAAAAAGAAAAAAAAATTAGCCAGACATGGTGGCATGTGCCTGAAGTCCCAGCTACTTGGGAAACTGAGGCAGGAGGATCATTTGAGCCCAGGAGTTGGAGGTTGCAGTGGGCTATGATGACACCACCGCACTCTAGCCTGGGCAAAAGAGTGAGACTCTGTCTCTAGAAAAATAATAAAAAAAAAGATACTCCGAAAGTTTTAGTATTTGATAATTTAGCTGTGGATGACTTTTAATGTGCTTTTTTTCTTCTTTTTTTTTTTATTCAGACTTGAGCCAGTTTATATTAACGTGCTTTTGTTACCGCTTCCAAATCTTAATACTACATGTTGCAAGTGGCTTTAAATATTAAATTTTTTATTTTACAGACAAAATTTGAGTAGCATTAATGAAATGCCAAATAAAGGAAAGGTAAAAGTTACACCCCCCAGTTATCCTGCTTCCTCAAATCACTTATCTTCTACCTCTTTAACCAGATATATTTGTTGGCCTTTGCTCTGGTATTTGGCATAAAATAACCTCAAAAGATACAGCCCCTGCCCTTATGAGTTTATAATATAGTAAG